GGAACGGGCGGCTCAGCCCGAAGTGTGCAGAAGGCGGCTGACTCTTGGCGCACACGGGGCAGCCTGAGGCTGGGAGTGCCCACAACGCCGAGGCCAGTTCTTCCTGGGCCTCTGGGCGAGGCCTTGGGTTCCCCAGCTGTGCTTTCCCAACTGCCTAGCTCCCCCAGCTCCCAGCCCCACTGCACGGAGGAAGATGAGGCGCCGAGGGGAGATGGACTCAGCCAAAGGCAGAAACCTCCTCGGAACCAGCACCCAGTTCCACAGGGCAGCGGTCCCAGGCCCCATGAGTTTCTGCTTCTTTGTGTAGGGGCTGCCCCTTGCCCCTGGTCACCCAGCGTGGCAGGTCCCGTGGGTGCTTGAGAGATACACTGGCCACCACCAGCTTGTCCTGGGGACACTAGGGCTCTTCTTTACCTTCCTCTTTTTTTTTCAATCTAAAAGCCTCCAGCTAGCTTTTATAAACAGTAATGAGACTTTGCTCACTCCAGTGCCCTGGCCTGTGACCCAGGTTATAGAAAATTCCTGGCTCCTTCAGAAGCTCCGTCAAGGCTGAATGGCCCTGGACAAATAGATACCTGGAGCTGAGAATGGGCCCCTGCCAAGTGTGGGCCCAAATAACCCTGCTGTTGGCCCTGCACCCACCCTTACAGCTGGAGCATCTGGAAAGAACCGCTTGCCCTTTGTCTGCTGTCCTACATGAGCCATAATTTTTAAACACTAATTTAGAAATTGTGAGAGTGTGTGTGTGTGTGTGTGTGTGTGTGTGTGTGTGAGAGAGAGAGAGAGAGAGAGAGAGAGAGAGAGAGAGAGAGAGGGAATGTGCCAGCACTGTCTGGTTAGTCGGTTAGTGCTGGGTGTCCTGTGAATCAAGGCTGGGAAAAGGCTCTGCTCACCCAGGGGAGTTTAGAATAGACGTGCAGACTTGAATCCCTGCATCCAGTGTCCTGCCTGCCTTCTCCAGGGTACATGCCGCCTCCAGCCAGAATATCCTGTCCGGCACAGAGAACATTCATTCAGCAAATGTTGATGAAGGTGCTTTCTAGGGCTGCCCTCACCTCTGCTCGCAGCTCACTTGCCCGAAGCCTCCCTGAAGGAGGCCTGTCTGTACTTGGAGCCTGCAGACACAGGTTCCCCCTACCAAACAGCCTGCTTGCCGGGAGGTCAAGGAGTCCCTTGTGCCTCAGACTGGCTGTGTAACTTCACTCTTGCCATTTGGTAGCTGTGTGACCTTCGGCAAATTATTCAACCTTTCTGAGCTTCACTTTTCATCTGTTAAATGGGTCTTAGAGTAGTACCTACCATATTATTAGGCTGTTATAAGGCTCAAGTGCTAGATAAAGACCTTAGCATGCATAAGTACTAGTTTTAATTTTAACTATTGGGAGTTCTTACTGTTTGAATGTGAGACAAATCAAATGTCTTTAAGATCCCATTCTTTGCATCTGAAAGAAAGGAGGCAATAACTCCTGTCCTGCCTAATTCAGAGAAATGCTGTGAGTCTCTCTTGAAATAACGGATAAGGCTCTGTGCCTATGTGACAGGGCGTTCCCATCTCAACAGGGAAGAAAGGCCCCGTTCTGCCTGGCTGGATGCTCTGAGTTAAGTCTCGGCCTCCCATGTGAGCCGAGGCACATTTATTGATTGATTTATTGCGGAGGGAGGAAGCTACTGCAGAGGGACTAGAGTATCCCATCCTCAGCTTTATGGAAGTATTTTCCATTTATCAAGCTGCTGCCACATCCTAGGTGTTATGTAGAGCATAGAAGTAGGCATGCTACCTTGCAGTCAAATTCAGCAGCCAGCCAGGTGACAGGCCCATGATGGCAGGGAACATGCTGACGTTTGTGCAACAGCCACTACTGTGGTCCAGGCATTGCTAGTCAGTTGTAGTTACATAACCATTGTAAAAAGGCTTAGGTTTTTGTTTGTTTTTTAAGTAGAAAATGCCCAAACCCACCCAATCCAGGCATGTGCCCCAGCGGAGAACTGAACTGTGACCTCCTGGTTCGTGGGTCAATGCTCAACTACTGAGCTATACCAGCTGGACAAGGCTTAGGTTTTTTGAAGGAAAAAACAACAAAAATACCTAGGTTCATAGGGAAATTGAAGCAGAAAAGCATGGTGACTTGCCCAAGGCCATGTAGGCAACAGTTACTGGCAACCTAGAACCTTTGTCTCAGGAGCTACCTCAGATAGAGAGTGGCTGTCTCCTGGTGGGATGTGATGAATAGAGGTGGGGGCCTAGGCAGGAGTTGCAAACCTAGGCTTGGCCATTTACCTGGCCTGTGACATTCCACTCTTTGAACCTCTGTTTCCCACAAATGAAGTGAGGGAGTAGATTTTATATATCTGAAACTGGTTTCTGGAGGCAGCTGTAGACACCATGGGCTTTTTAAAAAATATTATTTAGTTTGAATGGCTTTATTTTTATAATTTTATTTTTGAACGGGTAATACATTTACATACTTCAAAATTCAAGAGGCACAAAAGAGTACAAGGTGGAGTCCCCTCCTTCCCACTCCCCATCCTTCCTCCTCAGAGGCAACACTGTTTGGAAATTACTTGTGTATCCTTCCAGACATATGTGCGTATAGTCTCCTCTCCACCCACCCCAGTCTTGCATTTTTTGCACAAATAGTAGCATATTCTATATACTCTCCTGCTTCTTTTCTTACATAAAGTTGAAAAGAGTTGAGAGAGCATTCTTTGCCCATCAAGGGTCCTAATTCCTTTTTTATGGCTGCATAGAAATGTGAATGCCTGAGACCAGGTTTGCCCTTTTGGATTGATTGCCACAGGCCCCACTATGCCACATTGCCTTACTCCCTGCCAGCCACACACTTGTTTGCTGCGTGGGGTAGGGGTGACCCCTGAGGTCACTTGTAGTTCTGACAGCTTGTATTTCTCCCTGATCCTTAAACCTGAAGTTCTCTAATCACGCTTTGGTGACTCAGACCCCAGGATGGGCCCATGGTCAGCTTAGTAGGATGGGTGAGTCCCCAGCTTTAGCTTCTGATCACCTGCCCTGTATCTGTTTCTCTCTCTGTTTCAACAGTGGCCTTTGTCTCAGAGGATAACTTTCATCACAGTTCAAACTCCACCTATAGAACTGCAAGCAGCTCTCTCTGTGCAGACCAGGAAGCACTGCTCGAGAAGCTGCTGGACCACTCACCACCCAGCCTGCCGAGGCCCAAGGACCGCTTCAATGGTGCCTACATCATCTTCTTCAGCCTGGGCATTGGCAGCTTTCTGCCATGGAACTTCTTTGTCACTGCCAAGGACTATTGGATATTCAAATTTCGCAACTGCTCCAGCCCAGCCCCAGGGGAGGAACCTGAGGACTTGGACATCCTGGTAAGGGCATGTTCCTCCTGGGAGGTGGGGGTGCACTCAGCCTGGATGGGGCGCAGGGCAATTTTACTTGGGTGCGTATACCAGGAAGGTTTGTGGCATGCTGAAGATGTATGGATTAGGAAGCCATGTGGAGTATAGGAGAAAGAATTCAATTCAGTCCTCAGACATACTTTGTGTTGTGTATGAGGCCTCATGCTTCATGGGGCAGGAGAAGATGGAAATGGATACGACACGGTCCCAGCCTTCAGATTGCATGTATTTAATTTGGTAAGAGGGTACAAGTGATGATTCTCTGCAGTGCAATGTGGGAAACCCAGAAACCCAGAGTCCATGCCTCTAGTGGTTTGAAAGGGTGGATCTAGTAGCAGTAAGTTCAGCTGTGAGTTACAGAAAACTCCAAAAGAACAGTGGCTAAACAAGATGGAAGATAATTTTTCTCTCTTTCATGTTCAAGTCTGGAGGGGCCAGCCCAACCCTGGTATGATGTTCCATGTTGTCAGGAACCTAGTTGTTTCATCACGTGTAGTTTCTATGTTCAAGATCACGTCACAGTCCAGGATGGCGGTTGGAGTTCCAGCTGTTACATCAAATAGGAAGAGGGGGAGAGGCATAAGAAAACTCCTAGAAGTCACACACATTGCTTTTGTTTACATCGATTGCATTCATCAGAACTCAGTCATGTGACCATATGAGATGCAAAGGAAGCTGGGAAATGTAGTTTTCCCCCCAGAGAACCAGGTGACCAGCTAAAATGGTGGTTGTATAATTATGGAAGACAGAGAGAAATGCAGACTCAAGGATAAGTAGTCTCGTTACCAAGAGAGAATGCTGTGAATCAGAGCAGGTGCATTAGAAGAATGGGAGGAGACAGTCCAGGTGGAAGAAAAAGCCTGGGCAAAGGCAGGATGGGAGAAAGTTCAGGTGTGTGTGAGGAACAGTAAAGCATCTAATTTTGCTATAAGAGAAATAAGGCTTGAGATTATTGCCTGGGCCTTGAATGTTAATGTGAGGAGTCTACATTTTGTTTTGGTTGCCAGTGGCACCAAGTCCTGTCCAGCCACCTAGGGTTGCTCACTTTGTAGGGCAACTTTTCCCTTGGGCAGGAGGGGTGTTAAAAAATTATTCTGCGACTTGAGGCTTTACTCAAGTCTATTGCAATAAGGGAGAGAGATCAGGCTCATCTCCAGTTACTCAAGGACAAGTGGCGATTTATAGCCAAGGAGCAGAGTGAGGGGTCAGTGGGTGGAAATTACCAAGAGGGGCCACCGAGGGTAGGGGGATTCTTGCAAAAGCAGGCCAAAGACATACATACCAAGGTGTGGGATGAGGAACTTGATCAAATATCAAGGGAGATCAGGAACAAGGGTGGGGGATTTCCAGTAAACTGACTTAGCAGGATTCTTGCTAAGACTGTCTGGGCAGTAAGAAGACAGGATAGAGGGTGAGGCGTGGTGTATGGGCAAGGTTGAGGTCGAGTCAGGAATTGGGCTCAGAGGTTTGCTTAATCTTTGTCAAGAGCCAGTTTCTTCAACTGATCTGGGTTGGTGTCTGCTCTCTCTTGAAAGCTCATGGGTGGAGTAGTGGGGACCTCTCTGAAGGCATGCCAGCCTAAGGGTTGCTAGCTGTCCCTCCCCTCCAGGGATGCCCCAGAGGACAAGAAGAGGGTATCCTAGCAGACCTTAGGCATACCCTTCAACTGGTCCAGGAGGTGGCTCACCTTTCCCTTCCTGAAAGCACCTTTGAACTCCCTGACCTAACCCCCAGGAACTTTCCCAGTTTTGTAGGACTGAATGGGACACGTTGGCTGAGGTTTCCCTATTGTCTGTTTCAAGGACTCTGCCAGGGCTTCACATCAGAATCACGCAATCACGCAGGGAGCTTTCAAAAACTCCTAATCTGGGCCCCACTCCAGAAGTTATGATTGAATTAGGTCCCTTAATTTTGACACCTTGTGTGAGGGCCTGTTTCTGTTAATCGAGGGATTCATAGCTGCCTGCAGGGGCCAGAGCAGCGATATAAACCCATTTCTGCAGCTGCAGAGGTGTCATGGGAACATGGCGTTGTAGTTTAGAGCCTCCTACTCCAGGTGTGGTCCTTGGACCAGGCATGCCTGGAGCTTGTTAGTGATGCAGAGTCTCAGGCCCCAGCCCAGACCAGCTGAGTCAGGAGCTGCATGCTGACGCCCCCAGGTGGCTGGCGAGCACAGTAGAGTTGGAGAAGCACTGGCTAGGGCTTCTGGAAACAGACTGTATGGGTTCCAGCTCTGCCTCTGGTAGTTCTCAGCTCTGGCCTCCCTGTGCTGCCTCCTCTTCTGGTCTGTAACAGGAAGAGAATACTAGCAGCAACTTCTTAGGGTTGTTGTGAGGATTAAGTAAATTACTCTTCACACAAAGCACTTAGAACAGGGCCAGCACAGTGCTGTAAGTGCTGCATAACATTATTATTGTTATTATCATTCGGGGATGTAGCCCTGGTATATTTCCAGATGCCTGGCTTACCCGGGTGCTTTATGACTCACTTTTATTTACCAGTGACTCAAGCATCCCAGCTTTCTCCTGGCCTCAGTAAATCATCCAGCCCACTTGGGCTTCCTCCAGAAGGTCCCTGTCTGGCTGGGCTGGCCTAGGGTAGCCCCCAGAACCAGATTATGTGTGCACCTGTCCTGCCCCCCGAACCCAGTCCCCATCCCAGCCCCTGGGAGCAGGCTGCCCCGGGGCAGGAGAGGGTGTGCAGGCAGGTCTCTGGGAACTGGGCCTGGCCCTTGAACCGTGGACATCCTCTGTACAGTAGATGTCTGCTGTGAGCTGTTCTTTCTGGAAGGCGTTCACTTCCCAGCTGCAGGCACTTAGCATTCCAGGCCCTGCTACAATACTTTATTGCCTCTTTCGAAGTGCTGGCAGGTGCAAATGTAGTACCTGCGGCTGCCCAGAGCTCCTGGCTCTTGGCATCAGAGATGAGAGACCTGTCACCCCTCGATTCATGGGCTGGGTTTGGGAAGCAAGCATGCTGGGGCGTTTCTGCATTTTGCAGGCCATTTTTCTTTGCCTAATTCCCCATTCCTGCCACCCAGCTCCCCAATTCTTTCCTCCTCTCTCCCTGATTTCCCTGTGAGAGGTGGCTGGTCTGCTCTGTCATCTGACGACCACTTTGGGGAAAGGAAGGGGAGAGTCAAATGGGTCTGTCTCCAGCCACCACCTGCAACTCAATTAGCTGTGGGCCTGGATGTTGTTGTTTTTCTGTACTTTGAATATTCCCAGGGATAGATATCATTCAGTAGGAATGTTTGCATAGACCCCCTCCTCCCAAATTTTCGCTTTCAAGGTCACCTGCCATCCCAGGCTCATTTCCTTCTACCTGGAACAGTTTGGGGGGCGGTTTAGAAAGCATCCTGTTTACCTGCCCCGTTGTCTGTCTTCTCTGGAATAAACTTTGAATGAACCCACCACAGTCCTGTGGATCTAGAACCAAAAAATTAGAGCATAAATAAGGAAAAATTGACATGAAAAAATGGTGCGGGGGAGCCAGGACAGCATCCACCGTATGAACCCCACTCTGTGCCCACCATGCTGACAGGGGTATTAAACACACTGTCTCTAATTAACTGTTTTTTCAGACAGACAGCCAGAGCTTGCAGAGGTGTAGTAGTCTGCCCCAAGCCACATAGCTAGGGAGGGCTGTAGAGAGTCTCACGGAGAATTTAGGTGGATAGATGATTACAAACCGGGTAATGCTCAGAGAGTGGTGTCAAGGGGACTGTCCTGGAGACAAGGCCCACCCCACACCCTGACTCTGCCAAATGCTCTTTCTTCAAATGGAGAGCCTGACTTTTATCTGCCTTCCTTTACCACCCTGGAAGCCCAGGTGCCTTGGCTCTACCCCTGGATTCTGAACCCAGTTTCCAAGCTGTCAGCATCCCTGATCCTCCCCCTCCCTTCCCACCCCCAGGGTTGTAAGCCATCCCTGATCCTGGGGTCTCTTTGCCCTCCCCTTGGCCTCTCCTATAGGCTCATACAGTCTGCCCCTGGGTCAGGAACTGTAAACTGGAATGCCTCCTTTCTGCCCCAGAGAGGACAGTGACTGCACCTTCTCCTGGTCATTTCCTGCCACAAGGCCTCCATGGCTCCCTCCCAACACGTTCCTATGCACCTTGGCCTGCCCAGGGCTCCTCTCTGAGGGGGCTGCAGGACATAGCCAAGTCATAGGTAGGACCCAAAGCCCTACTTGGTGTCAGCAGGGTCAGAACCCTGGCTTGGCAATCTACTACTGTCCCATCCATCCCATGACCAGAGGGGGCCCCAACAGCCCAGTTCCAGGGCAGGGTTCAGATGCCTCTTTTGCCCCTGGGAACCTCCACTGCTGCTACCCTGTGAGTTAGGGGCTCCCCTCTGAATCCCCAGAGTCCACTGTACTTCCCCATTAGGCTCTCACCACACAACTCATGGTACTGAGTGCTTACTGCGGGGGTGCCACTGCTCTCAGATTTTTGCCGTATTATCTTATTTAACCCCACAGCACCCCCGTGAGGCAGGAACTGCTATCAATGATGACAATACCTGTTTCACAGATGCGGATGCCTCCTCTACTAAACCGCTAGCTCTTTGGGGATGGTGAATACAGTTCTCACTGTACATCCCTGTGCCTCCAGAACAGCTAGCACACAGTGCACAGCACATAGTAGCACACAATAGATATTTGTTGGATTAGTTATTGTATGGCTGGGAGGAAAGCACCATCATCCCAATTCAAGGTGAGGATGGCATGGTTCTGCAAAGGAGCAGAAGAAGATCTGGGGGTCACAGTGGCCATCCCCAAAGGAGTTCTGATCTTTCAGGTGGGTTGGCATAGATATGAAGTGGGATTCTTACAATAGGGAAGGGAGCGAGGTTGGCCTGGCACAGCAGGTGGGGACCTACCCTCATTTGCAGCACCTTGGTCCTGGCCCAAACCCTCAGTCCTCCAAAGAAGCAAGATAGCATGACTAGGGAGCTATTCTTGCATGA